TGGATGGATGGATGGATGGATGGATGGATGGATGGATGGATGGATGGATGGATGGGCGGTGGATGGATGGATGGATGGATGGATGGATAGATTTACGGATGGATTTATAAGCGGGTTAAATATTTCAGTTTAGAGTTCTCTGTTGCTTAGGGTTAGCCTCGATTTCATGCAGAATATTCGTGTGTTCCAGTGAAGGTCCGTGAAATTTCAAAGTGTTATATAATTTGCATTGTTGAAGTTGTGCATTCTTTACTTTACCGTTGGTATTTGTGAATATTTAGACACGGATACGAGGCTAAGCCTGAGTGAATGAGTCTGTAATCAAGGAACACAGCGGTAACTCAACAATGGTCTATTAGATAGGCTATATCACATATTTACCCTTTTGACAATGTTGACCAGCAAATCCACTTGAACAAACACACTTGTACTGTCCTTCTTCAAATCCCGTCAACTGACACGTGGCATTCATCGCGCATGGGCTGCTCACACAGGCATTCACTTTTTAAAYCCTAACTTTTTTTCCTTAATTGGGATCGATGACATAAAATGAAATCATTTGCAACCAACCTTTCTTCCTCTGTACGAGTACCCTGGTCTTTCCTGGTAATCTTGTGGGTGTTGGTAACGATCAGCGTCGTTCAGTTGACAGACCATCATTCCAGGTGCTGGTGAAGGACCAAGGTTGTACGACACACAGTCATTGTTAAGGTAGCACTGGATGCGACACACAGTGTCCGAGTCTGCGAAAGTCGTCTCAATCACATGATTAACTAAAACCATTCCTTCACCTTCTTTGGTATCGAAAACATTTTCCTCACATGGTGCAGCTACGGTTATAAAGATTCAGACGTTAGTTTTCTTTTTAATGGTAACCTAAAGTCTCGCTCGGCGGGATTCATCTCTAGGGTCTCGTGTTCGGTTTGTGTGTGGACTCGGCATCACATGTGAGTAGAGTTCGTAAGGTCTCTCTTGATTTTAGGATTTTTCTCTGATTCCTTCCCTTCACGAAACAAAGCACGCTAAATTCCAAGTCGAACCGTAAGTTAGCCATGTCATGTCGACTTTCGTCAGCTCAGATGTTCAGTTAAGGTGGCTGACTACTTTGGTAAATAATATACAGAAAATTGAAAATTGAAACTTTTTTGACCTGATCAGAATTAATGCTGATTTCAAAAATGCAAAGAAAAGAGGGGTGTCCCAAGCTTGTTTTTGAGATAATCACTCCGGAATGACATGCGTTTGTACAATTTTGGAAGGAAAATAGCGAAAATCAAGCTCTGTAAAAAAAATAAATAATAATAATAATAATAATAATAAAAATGAAAAAAATAAAAAAATCATAAAACCGAAACTAAGGAAGAAACATGAGTAATTTTTCTCCGAACGCGTAACTTACACTATATTTATTAAAATTTAAGGGTTTTGCTCTCTGGAAGTTCAAAACGTGTATGGTTCTTCAATAAAATCGTGAAGATTATTCAGCGGGTTTTGAGCACATCGTGGGCGGGTTTTATCTGTGAATTAGCCGTGCCCTGACTTAGAACAGGCCAGAGGTTGTTTCAGGGTTCAATCTGTGAGTTAGCCATGCCCTGACTTAGATTAGCCCAGACGTTGTTTCAGGGTTCAATCTGTGAGTTAGCCATGCCCTGACTTAGATCAGCCCAGAGGTTGTTTCAGAGTTTGATCTGTGAGTTAGCCGTACCCTGACTTAGATCAGGCCAGAGGTTGTTTAATTCAAGGTTTGATCTGGTGTGTATAGCTAAGATAAGGTGTTTGGCAGATGTAATCATTGAGAAATGTTCAAGGAATTAATTTTTAACAAGTTTTGGATTTCCATTTGAATATAATACTTGAAGTACAAGCAACGCAATTAATAACTCAATTGGCACTCATGAATTCGAATAATATATATTGTAAATTAAAGCCTTTCAAATTCTAGAAAAAATATCGTAGTTTAAAAGCCGAGGGAAAGAAAATAAGAAGCTTTAAGTAAGTGGAGAGGAACAAGCATTTAAATATTCTCCCTATCTACTTTTTATGCTTCTTCTTTAAATGTTCTCCCTTCCACTACAGACGAAGAATCTGGTATAATAGAGAGTTTTAGATTTACGTTCACGGCAAACGTGAAACGTCAGTTGACCAGTAAAAAATTCTTTTAAATTACTGAAAAAGAAACGCAAAAAAGTCCAAGTAGTAGAAAAACAAAAGAGTATTTGCGCTTGGTGAGAAGGTTTGTAAAAGGTAAAGTAAAATACAGGAAAACTATGAAAACGTGGTCACGTTTGCCGTTTGCGGGGAGAAAAAAAAGTCAATCTAAAACTCTCTATTAACCATTTTCTCCCCCACCCCGTTTCCCTTTTCACACACTGGCTCTTTGATATATTTTCGTTTGTTTTTTCCCCACTCCTTTCTGATCCGTTCCTCTTTGCGCGTAAGTAATGCTCACAAGCTTAGGGACCTTTTTCACAAACATTGAAAATCCAATTAGAGATGAGGGGAGGTCGTTTAAATTTTATAAAATGTTTGAGTCTTTGAATGGTGCCTTTGGTATCATGGTTAATGGTTAAGTTTTGAGAAACATTAATTAAAGTTTTTGGTTGTTTTAAGGTGCTGGCATTGCCCCAAGAATGGTTGTCAGGAAGACAAAAAAGAGAAGAAGAAGAAGAAGAAGAAGAAGAAGAACGAAAAGGAAAAAGGAAGAAAAGGAAGACAAAGATTATGGTTAAATGAAAAGCAAAAGACAGAGTAAGAAAATAAGAAAAAACTTACCAGATTTGTCCATAAAGTAAAAGTATATGTAGACAAGGCGTATCAAGCTAGCTCCACTTCGTACCTTCATGTTCGAGGTAAAGAATTTAAAGACGAAATTCAAGAGCAGAGAGTACATGAATATGTAACTGAAAAGCATCGTTGCCCTGTTGTGTTGTAATCAACCATTATGATTGGTTGATATTTATATCCTTACAATTTCATTGGTTAAAAATGGAATCCATTTAAATGTTAAATTGTGGATGCATTGTATTGGGCAGCTCGAGTGAGGATCAAAATGTTATATTTTTTTAGCGATTCTGAATGTCAGTAGTTGCTGCGATGCATTTATCTTATATAAATAATCTATTTTACAGGAAAGAAGAAGTTTACAGCTTTTAGGTGAGTTTATTGAAGTCTTTATTTTCTAGCACAGTCTTGTTTATCATACAAGCTAAATTTATCAAAACAAGTAATAGATCATATTTGTATTGGTGAAATGTTTTCCCATTTCAGACCACGTGTCATTAAATGGTATGCACTCTAATATCAAGTATTTTGTACCAAATAACATCAAAATCTCTGCAATTATGCAATACATCTGGTTTTGTTTCACGGATACACTACGTACACTCTATTGATGGGTTGCAAGCATTCCCAAGAGACTGTCAAAAGACAAAAGCATGGCGGCCATTGTAGTGCCGTTAACGATGGATGCTAATGAAAAATCTTTTGTTAAATGGCACTAACATGGCCGCGATGACGTAACGTGCAATCGAAGAATAATATATTATATAATTATATAATTGAAGGTGCTCTTAACCAAGAGGATCTTGGTTAGTATGAGGTGCAGACACTGAGGGTGGTCACTGCCAGGGTTTCTTTACATCCTCAGTGGTTCTTTTACATCCCTCCTATGATAATAATAACGTAGGCGGCAGAGTGAAATAAAAAGTGGGTGTGCCAGATCACGATATTCTCGCGTCCACGGCGTTCTGAAAACATTCTCCTTATTGCATGTCGTTACGTTTCGTACCTACCATACACTACATACACATGTGAACATGTTTGTCCACTATTGTTATCTTCACTGAAATTAACCAAATCTTGTCCATACCAAACCCTGAAAACCTGACCATTATGCACGCGCAAGAACGGAGAAAAATCTGGAAATATCATTTGTGGGTCCATAAAGTTCTGACCTGGCAATTGATATCGCAAACCGGATTTATAAGTTAGAGGGTAGTCCGCGGGCGGAGCTAATCGCTGGTTAGAAATATTTGTGATGTGAATTTCAAACTCTTTAGAGTCTTTGTCGCCCCAATTTCCTTCATACGACGATCCTCCGCCCCACGCTACACCTCCAGAGACATACACAAGTTTGATCTTTTTTATTTCCCCAGCATAAGGAACTGCAAATACACCAAACGAGTCCCCTCGTGTTCCAAAACACACCTCACTTGTATTATAGTTTGCTTTAATCCAGTTTTCTGCAAAAGAGAAGGTCGAATATTATTGTTAATTTATTGTTTCCGACTCATACAATAGCGAATCAATCATCGTCACAGCAGTTTTACCAGTGGAATTAAAATCTTGTCCCACAAACAACTACACATCTACATCTGTTTTAAAAAGTACTACAAGTATTAAGAGGCAATTTTCTTTTATTATTAAAGGACACTAAGAAAATGAAACAATTTGTGATCAACTTTCAGCGATCGGAGTTCAATTTTAATTTATTCTAGAAAATTTGTTGAGCTTGTGGGACGCTGACTAAAGGGCCGAATGGTAATCGTGAATATTAATTTGATTCATGCCTATATCGATTGACAATAGTACACATAAATGCCTAGTATTTATGTATACATCCTTAAAGTGCCTATCACCCTTCTGACAATATTCACAGCATTAATTCTACATGGGGTAGGATGTTGAATAACCCGAAAAAATTACATAGTTTGAGTGCGGCTTCTTGAAGTTATGAAGGTTTTTCCACGTCATATACTACTGCTGTGACGTATGAGGAGTAATCGTTTAATATATAAAACACTTCTGGTACAGATAAATTAAATTTGAAATATGTCATTGTTTTGCCCATTGCTCTTATAGAAATGATTGCAAGTTAGTTTTCCCATAGAAGCCGTTGTTTCGACTTTACGAGGAACAACAAATAACCATAAATGCCTCCTCATACGTCACAGCATCAGCATATGGCATGGAAAAACCTTCATAACTTCAAGAAGCTGCACTCAAACTATGTAATTTTTTCGGGTTATTCAACATCTTACCCCATGTAGAATCAATACTKAGAATATTGTCAGAAGGGTGATAGGCACTTTAAGAGTACGTGTATGACTTGGAAAAACGTGATGCACGCACAACGTGATCGTGTCTATTCCACCTCGAGTAGTTTGATTAAAAATAAATAAATCACTTTATTTAAGTGTCTACTCGTTCTAGCGCTTTCGCACGAATTGGGAACACTTTTCACTCACACGCACTACCACTACATTTAATATTCTATGCACACAACGCTCAACTCACATGTTGATTTTTATGGAGGGAGGAAACCGGAGAACCCGGAGAAAACCCTCGTAGCACAGGAGAGAACAACACATCAAACAAACTCAATTCACATGTGGCGACCGCAGGGCTCGAACCAGCGACCTGACCCATAGGACTCACAGCGGTGAAAGACGACGCGTTAGCCGCGAACGCCACCCATGCTACCCTAAGCAGTTATTTCAGTGCTGCCCTGTGCTGTGACGTTTAATGGCAGTGTTCGCTTAATCATTAATAAACAATATGTTATTGTCATGTTAATATTCACTTACCTATGCATGTGACGCCATCGCCTTCAAACCCGGGAAGGCAGACACATTGGAATGAGCCAATTGTGTTGTTGCATGTGGCGTTTGCAGAGCAATTATGAAGACCAGTTGTGCACTCGTCAATATCTATAATATATATATATATATATAATTCGTTAGAATTTCAGAAGAGTACAGTACAATCTGGAATACCCTGGAATCCAAGATATGGCATGACCTGGAATCCAAGATATGGTATGCCCTGGAACCTAAGATATAGTATGCCCTGGAATCAGAGATATGGTATGCCCTGGAATCAAAAAGGTGGTATAACCTGGAATCCAAGATATGGTATGCCCTGGAATCCAAGA